TATACATATGAAATGATAAATTACCATACTTATGCTAAAAAAAATTTAAAATTTTTTGATTGATGACAACATTTTTGCACAACTTTTCACTGCAATATTTATGGCTTGCTTGAGAAAAATTGTTTGTAATATCTGTCCTTCATGATTATTTTTAGTCCCCTTTTTTAAGAAAAAAAGAGTTATGGTCTGTTAGTTTCGATATTTACCGCTACGTTACGAAATATTTACACTTTCATTAGATACTCTGCAATTTTGTTGCTACTTCGAAATCGACGAATAAAAATAAGCGTTATCATCGTCTAAAAGTGACCTCTAGTGGCGTGAAGGAAACAATTAGATCAGCTGATGATCTCAGTATTTCAAGAGAATACTTACCTGTTTCTGACGCAATCTTCAATTCCTGCATTTCATTAACAAATTATGCGGTGATGTCAAGCTCTCGTGTGCCAGCAGTGACTATGTAAGCCTTGACCTCAAATAACGTAAAAAAAAAGCCTTTGAGAAATGTTTTATACAAACGCGTTTTTTTCTTATTGTTTGTCGCATTGTATTGCCGAAATAATTTTAATTTACTTTGTTTTAATTACCATCGATTTTTTTTAATTTACTTTAAAATGTCTTTATGTTAGTAATGAGCAATTATTATGGTGAATAATTCTTTTTTATACATAATTCCAGTACCTACAAATTTGTGGAATGTTATTGCAAATGTTGGTATTTTGCAACGGAACCTAGTTGTTTATTTTAAATGAAAATGATAATATTTTAGGAAGCAATTTCTTGAAGACTTGTTATGTTGAAAATTTTTGGACATTCAGATGATAATTAATTTAATAAATGGCAGCCAATTTTATTTTTTAAGAAACATGACAGACATTATCTTTAAAGCATTTATTTTTAATGTTTTAGTGATCCAAAGAAAACTTTTTTTCTTCTAAGAGAAGTAAAGTATGTTTAATAAAAAAAAAGTTTATAATGCTTTGATTAGTCATTAAATCCTCTAATACTTTAAATTAAATTTGATACACTGAAATTCCTTTCAAAGAATAAAAATTTTTTACTGCTTTAGTTTTCCTAAAAGCAAAGCCGAAATACCATGGTAAAATCTAAGTTTCTAAATAAAGATTTCAATCAAGATTTCTAATCAAACAACATATTTTAAATTATATGATAAATATTACCTGCTTAATCACTGAATATTGATGTTTTCTACGTCAGGAAGCAAAAGTTTGATTCATGCTTATCGTCTGCTTGAAGAATTATAAACAGAAGAACAATCTAAAAAATAAAAAAATATTGAATTAGAAACCATTTCCTTGACGTAGTTCAAAGTTAAAATAATAATAATTTAAATTATATATATATCAAATATATATAAAATTCAAAAATAGAAATCAGAATTTTTTTTTCAATCCATTAGTTAAGCGTAATTCAACTGACAATTATTTAATTAAATTTGTAGCTATCACATCTAATGTCTTAATTTTCATTTCACTCCATGCAATGAATCCTCTGCAGTAATTGTAATTTGTTGATATATGAGCTTCCGTCGTTCTTATTAATATAATAAATCATCAATGCAGTGTAAAATATTTTACAGAATCTTATTTTCGGAGATTCAGCTCGCTTTGCAAACATTTTTGTTTCTTGTTGGTTAACCGAACGCAACATCAAATTCTATTCAATTAATTCATTGATTCAATGCTATTCAATTAATAAATCCTCATTTTCTTTTTACTGTGTCAACACAGAATTCATTTTCAATTCTATTCGGATAAATTTCAAATCCAATATTTTTGTTCAGCTTGAATTTCAACTTCTTCCATAAAGAAGAAAATTTTTTAGGAATTCGGAAATTTTGAAGGACGCTTAATAATAAATTCTACACAGCAAATCTCGCCTTTTCATTGGTTTTAGACAAGTTTTCAAAAACATTTGTTTTCTAAAGTTATTTAAATTTCTGGAAACTCAAAATTTAAAATTTGAACTAATATATATTTCATTTGAGCTTAAATCTAATTCTGGGATGAACTTCCTACATTCAAATCCGGAGGTTTCTTAATTTATAACTCAGTGACATTACAAATTGTTCCTTGGAATAAATTCCATTGTAACAAGCCTTTTCTTTTTTGGTTGTCTTGCAGTTTAAATCAAGAGATTAAGTCTGTTAGTAAGCTTTCATCAGTTAATTGAGGAAATTATTGAGGAAACTATTTAATTTTTGTCAGAATTTATTGTGTTTAAACAGCTTTGTTCAAAATAATATAGTTAACTGCAAAACCATTTTAATCATATTTATTTAAATTAAACTATAAATAGTATCTCAAAACAAACATAATGAATCGGAAAAATGCATTTCAATAAATTATTATTAATTTGAATATGCATAAAACAAATATAAACGAATCTTGAGATTTCTTTACTTATTAACTAAAAATACTTAATGAAATAAACTTCAATTTATTCATTCAAATGAATGCAGAAACAGTTGCTATGCATAATTTATAAGATGGAATGCATATTTTGATTCAAATTGCATTTAAGAATGTTTCCTTAACCAGTAAAGCTTTCCTATAATTTTCATAAATACATATCCTTGTATTTGCTAATTTATAATTCTCCAGTTCTTTAATCAGATATTAAAGTCGAAATATTATACATAATTCACTTTTGTTGTCTGATTCGAAACATTCATATTAAAATCACGACAGTTTTATTGCGATTTTGCATTTTTTTAGAAAATTAATTTTGAAAGACTCAACAAATTCAAGTTTGTCACTCTTTTAGAGCAACTTTAATAGTGCTTCATTATTGATTAGAATACAAGATAATCTATTATTCTGTAGAATTTTCAGAACTCGTTTTAAGTATGCATGTTCTTAGAAAATCGTGCATAAGTGCCCTTTAAGAAATTTGGAGGAAGGACTAAACTTTTAATTGAAGAGTATCAAACTATAATTGAGGAGCTGAGTGGATGAAAGGGTCTAAAGTGACATTTTAATGAATTTGAGTATTTAACTTTATACATTTTTAATAATAAATTAATATTATATTTGCACAGTGTACACATGAAATAGGATATGATAGTTATATTACAGAATAAAATATGAGATGCAGGAAATTTATTACATATGATGCTGAACCAGGAAACGATCAATCTCCAAATCAATACACCAAGAGGTATTGATTTGTAATGGAAACTCTGGGGACTTTGTAACCCAGCAGATTCAACTTGCACCAGTCCCTATTTACTTCGGAGTCTTCAGCCAGCGGGGATCAAACCTACGACATCTTGGACATAACTCCCAAAACCCTACCAACCAGGCTATCCCGGCCCTAGATATGATGCATCATATGCATGATGTATCATATACATGCGTAAACACATATAAAATTATATATTATGCTCATTTTACATGAGGGCTGATATTCATGCGTCTGATGTAAGTGCTTAAGTGGCACAGAAAACGTGAGTATTTGAGTCATTAACCTTAAAGTTTACGCATCTACAATAACAAATGAAGTTTATATTTGAGCAATATACATATGAAATGATAAATGATATTTATATTTCAGGGCACAGAATCAGATTCAGGACATTTACAAACACAATGTATAATATACATGCGTAAGCAGAAATAAAATGATGTATGATATTTAGTTGACTTAATGGCTGATATTCATGTGCCTGATGTAAGCTCATCGATGAAGCAGACGGTTAAGGCGTCACCCACACCACTGGAGGTAATAAGTTCGAACCTGACAGCCAGCAAAATCATAGGTATTAAACGTTGGAACTTTAAAAATAGGCATAGGTGCTTTGCAATGCTTGGGTTATGACTATGTGCCTCAAGTATAATATACTTTCTCCATTATATCGGATAATTTATTTATATCATATATATTTATACAATATGGTACATATTTTATCCAATCCAATGACAGTGTTTTTAAATAATTCATATGATTATACATAATATTATATTTACGTGATATCTTAATATATATTTCACCTAGCCTCTTGAAATTCGTATCATCACATGTAATTATACGTTTATTACACGCAAAGTTTGCAGTGATTCTCAGTGTTTTATTTTCCTTAAATTTCTTTTAAACATAAATAAATAAGTTTATATAACAGTATGAAGTCGCTATACAAACCTCTTAAATATTTATAACAACCTTTCATTTGTTCGCGTCATACCTTTAAAAAATAGGAAAATCAAGAAATATAGCTTTTGTGAAAGATACCTTGTAAATGAAATCTCAAAAGGCATATATTTCCTTAACTCAGCGAAAAAGGCAGATTCTTTTTAAAGAACTTAATCTATTGAGAAAAGAAAACGAATGAAATAGAAAAAAGATATTTTGCTGCAAAACACTAAAGGTCGCATTCTTAAGGTAAGAATTTAAACTTTATTTATCAAAATTAATCTAGGAACTTTTCACTTTGAAACCTTTTTTCTTGCTGAAAAGATTAGAATTCAGCGTGATTTCAAACACGGAAAAGATAAAGCAGCTATTCAAAAGAAGAAGCTGACTTCAAGCCTCGGGGTAAAATAACAATACTTTAAAATCTGTGAAAAGAAAATACTTCTAAGTGTTTGTTCAATAGTTTCGGATGAATGCTGCTTTCGGACTTGAAGTCAGTAATTGCTAGACTTCGTGAAAAGTTGAAAATGTACTTTTAAAAATAAAGAGAAAATTGGACCTTTAGAAATAATTTTTTGTTCTTGGTGACTAATTCTCGTTCTTAAATGTATTTTCTTGACATTCTTTTAACATTGTGTATATCTATCTATCTATCTATCTATCTATCTATCTATTCATGAATAGAAAAATAAAATAGGTTTAGTAATATTTGTAAGCTTGAACGATGGTTTCAGTTTATTTCAAAGAAGACATTTCACAAGTTGTGAAATTTTGGCTTTTAATTTTTTTTCGATCTTTTCAACAGGAAAAGGAAAGGTTTATATTAATTTTATTTTCAATTATAAAATTATACTCTACAAAGTTATTCGGAAGTATTTAGATGATTATTATTGTTGTTGTTGTTGTTGTAGTTCATTTACTCACACTAGAGCTGCACAACGGGCAATTGGCGAATGTCTGGGAAACATCCCTGAGAATGATCCGAAGACATGCCATCACAATTTCGATCCTCTGCAGAGGGGATGGCACCCCGGCTTCGGTAGCCTGGTGACCTGCTCCCGAAATCGAGCACTTTACTGTAGAACAGTTTAACGAGGACCAAAATCGCGCACCCTCGGTCCCTATGCAGACTCATCCAAGTGGTCACCTACCTGCACACTGACCGCAGCCGGTGATGCTTGACTTCGGTGATCTGCTGGGAAAAGTATCTTAACGATCAGCCCACTGCGGGACTATTATTGTTGTAGTACTCTGTTTATAAATGTATAATGTTCAGGACAATATACTAAATTTAATTACCTTTAATTCGATTCTGGGACTGAAGAAATTCTGACCAAGCAATAAAAGAATGGTTTCATATTTAAAATTTCAAAGTGGCCGCCAACCAACCACAGGAGTTCAAAAAATCGAGTTCAATATCATTGAGTTAGCTTTTAAAGAATATTTAATGCGTGTATTTTTTTTCGATCCGATGCATATGTTTCGAGACATTTGACCGTTTCTATACTTTTTAACACCCTGTATATATTAAGTGCGTCATGTTTAGAAACTGTCTGATATGCTATATTTGGTTTCATAAAAAAGGTCTCTTCATGCTTTAATTTTCAGTTTAGAACTAAAAATTGCATTCCACGAAAACGATTTTTCGTACTAAACTTCGAACTATTCCTTGTTTATTTTTATAAAAAATTGTGTGACGTCATAAAAATTATTCTAATTCTACTTTTTGAGCTTTACTATATATTCAATAAACTATATTATTAACGGCAAAGTTACCATCTACAGAAACAATAAATTTAAAATGAAAAACTGGATTCAAAATAAATAATTCTTTAGTTTACCGAAGAAGGACATGTTGATTATTTTTTTATTATTTTCTAAGAAAGGGAGAGAAGGTTTCTTGAATTGATACTAAAGTTTAAAACCTAATAATTTCTTTCACTTGCAATTCATAGATAAGGGTGTGTTTATGTAAGGCATTATGAATTGCAATATATTTTATCACAGCTCATAGATATATATTTCATAAATACTACTTTTTAGGTGAAAAAAACTTGAAATAATTTTTATTGTAAGTTACGTTTAGTAAATTAATGTGTTGCGTTTAAAATAAATAGAAGTCAAAC